CACACACACACACACACACACACACACACACACACACACACACACACACACACACAGCTGGGTGGAGACAAAACTCTTCATGACAAACAAGCGAAACCTGAAATCCACCAATCAGAAACTGGTTACAAAGTTTCCCAGCAGGTGGACCAAAGTTCCTTATTTCAGAAAATCCTGAATAAAAACACTTTAAAAGCTTGAACCGTTTGTTTCAGAGTTACTGAATCATGTTGAACCCAAATGGATCAGTTTAGAAAACAGCTGCAGCTGGTTCAGAACCAGCAGAACAAAAGGTTTAGTTATTACTTTAAACAAATATTGCACTTTACTTTGTTTAAGTGTGACGTAATGGACTCAGACGACAGCTTTTGTAGTTTCTGCTCCTCATTAGATCCAACTTTCCTGTTTCAGCAGGACCTCTGGTGGTCAGAGGTCGACATTACAGGCAGTGGTGCCTCCAGAGGCGTTTTAACGAGGTGGCTCTGTGGGGGTGGCCTTTCTCCAGTCCAGACAACAAATTTATTTATTCATTCATTCAAATAAACAAAAGAAAATCTACATACAATAAAAACAAAACACAAGTCTTAAATGAAATGAAAGGAAGCAGAAAGGAAGAAAATCCTTCCAAGGCGCTTCACTCCTCCCCCCTCCAGAGCGGTCCATTCTAGTTTGACAGAAGGGTTTATGGTTATATAGCTGGACAGAAACTTTTTATTTACAAATAATTTGAAATATGTGAACAAGGGAATACCTTGTTAAATATATTTCCTTCTGAAATTGACAGTGAAGAGGAGACACATACTGTGAAGCTAAAATCTGCTGATCAGCAGGAATTTAAACAGATTAATTTCCAGATCATGCAGCTGATTTAAAGTTGTTCCCACTTCATTTATTTATTTTATATWTTTATTTTTTGAGAGTGTTATTTGTATTAAATGTAGATTTGTTCATGATTTTTAGATCACAGTTGGAACTTCTGTTTAGGGCAGAAAAACATGATTTATTTCTAAACGTTGTCAAAATAAAAGCTTATTTTTTGATGTGATTGTCCACCCAGTCCACCCATCAGCTCATGTAATTACATCCTGTGCTCTAAGAATTAGTAACTTGTTCCCAGAAGAAAAACACAGCTTCATCTTTATTTTTGTGCAGTAAATAAGAAATGCAGCCAAAATAAGGGAACACAAAAATGTCCTTCTTGTACTCCTGGAAGAAAAACTTCTTCATGTGTGCTGAGAACCAGTGAGTCCAGATTCTGAACATTCAGACTCCTGTACGGCTCTGGTCTGGGTCTGTGGGTCTCTGTTCCTC